GTGTACAGGATGTACGACATCAACAAGAAGTCCATGTAGCTGCGGTGACTGGGCAGGAGTACTACTGGGTGGTTATGAATGGCCTGCTGGAGCTAACGACAATGAAAGCACAAGTTAAGTGCATCTGTGCGAGTTTGAGTAACTGTCTGAGCTATCATCCTGCACTCACTCTCTGGAGGCCCTCTTCGTTGACACAGATGCTCCTGAACAAGGTTTTAAAGACTTTGGAGAGAGTGAAGGCGAAGAAGCGAACCGTACTGAGCTGCAAGCGTTGAGCCATCTCCTCCAAGATGGCTGCCGCCTCCCCAGTGACTTCATCTGTGGTCATGCCCTTCTCTTTAGAAACCTCAAATTCAAAATAAATCAATTACAAACAAAGACATGTTAAAACAAATTATGCTTTTAAAAAAAAAATGTAAATGTGATTCATTTCTGACAATAAGAATGTAGGATGATTTTTGTCCCTCTCTGTCAATTTTCTTCGTCTATAAACTCGAGAGAAAACTTTGGACTTTGTTTATTTGTAGTAGCTCCAGACTTTGAAGTTTTCACTGTATGAAATAAGGTAATATTTCAAAATAAATTAGAAACCATTTCCTGTTACTGTGTCATAAAACACCACGCTGTCCTTGAATGCTAGTAATGGTGTTAATTTTAAAAAGTGCATGGCACAAACTGCATTTCCTCTGATAGCCACTGGAGATTGGCTCAAAAAGCAGATCAACCTTCATGATTTAAGCTTAAAGTTAAAGTCAGGATTGCCTTGATTAAAAGAATGCTGCAGACACAGGTGGCTGTAGTTGCAATTAGGCTAAATGTGTTTTCTGCACTTAACCTAAGGTCCTTTGAGTTACTAAACTGGGCCTCTTAGCTGCGTTTGTGGTGTCGGTGTCTCCTGAAGCACTTTTATTATGTGGTTAACTGTGCTGACCTTCATACCTGTCTGTGCTCAACTCTAACGCTGTGTAAAACTTGTTACTTTAGCTCGCTTGCACGCATTTTCTTGTTGCAGAAACCCTTGAAATAAATGTGTTAAAGAATGGAAAGTGCAGGAGACATTTTTCACTGTGAAATGTAATTTTCTGAACTGAAGAGAAAAATACATCCACCAGGTATAACCAGAAAGCCAATTTACCTGAGTGATGACATAACCCAGCTGATCAGACTGCAGCACCATTTGCTTCAGCTCACTGACTTTGCATGGAGTCAATCCTTTGTAAAGAACAGGAGTGTAACATTTGAGAGCGTATCTTAAGTCACTGGAGTTCCTCCTCTCCTCCAGAATATCCTCAAAGTCATCTCTCTTCTTTAGCATAGGATCTCTATGCTATTAAGAAAGGGACAAAGCGCACTATTAGAAACATGCTTTACTCACAGTTCTCCCTTGTATAACTTGAGTGACAGTGAAGACAACCACAGAAAAATCCTATAGAGGTGAAAAATTGACAGTTGATATGTTTGCAATGTACAAACAGATGTGGCATGCAATGCACGACATCAGCATTTACTGTAAAAAAAATTGTTGTCCTGTGCTGCAGCATTTTTGACACAAACAAGTGACATTCACATAAGCCCACATTCAAAATTTTTGTTAAGCACAAAAGATTTCTTGAGACCACTGAAGGAGTGTCAATTTTGCTGCTGGAAATCTTGTTTTAAAGTTTAAGCTCAAACAATACCTCACATCTAATTTCATATCCATGTTCTCTGTAAGTAATCAATGAGCAGCACTTAGAAATATCTACTGTGAAATAAAAAGTGCAATACTGCTCTCTAGGGGTGAAGCTGAAATGGACGCCAAAATTCAAAATGATCACACAAACCTGCACTTTTTTGGTTATGACAACTATGACAGCGTGTCAGACATGGCCCTCCAAAGTAGCCGAAGTCACCGACAAAAACGCAGAACCTCAGCACACAGAAATATGTATATACTTATAGCGTCAACGCTGCTCGCTTAACAGTATTGTGTGTGTGTGTGTGTGTGTAGTGATTTCTGGAATTGTAATTTTCATTCTCAAAATAGGCCAATTTTACTTTGATGTGCATGAACACATCAGGGCTCTAAGTTACTGGCACAGACTTAAAGCTTGAACAAACACATGCCACAGTTATTTTAGTTCTATGATTTTTGAATATGCAAAAAAATATGGCATTAAAAATCTTTTTTTACTAAAGAGCTTTACTAAGAGCACCACACGCTTCATTAACGCTCACATCCGGTTCAGTATGTTGAAAGCAGCCAATGGTTGAAAGTAACAACGTGCATAAGGTAATATCTGCTATTAAAAAAAGTGCTCGAATACAGTAAGCTTTATTAGAGCACTTTAACGTTTTTTTATGTTAAACCAACGCATTAAGTTCACTTGTGATTAAAGGGGCAATACACACAAATCACGAGAGAGTAGCTTATTATTCCTCCCCACCACCACCACAGTGAAACTGAATAGGAAACCAGCAGATACTGGTACCATGAGGAGCAGGATTAGGAAATACTGTCGCAACTGTTGCCTCATAGAAGTTTGACATTGGGCTTGCACTAACCCTTTTGACAGGGTTAGTGCAACTCCAAAGTTAAGTAGTTTTCGCTTAAATCTCCTCGGGAACAAAACATAAGGTCATACATTTTGTCTCCTGTCTGAAAGCTTGAAGGCTGAAACTTCAGGGATATGAGCAAAGAAACTGGCACGATGTAGGAAATCAGTTCGTTACCTAAATTAAAGTGATTCGATCTAGACACACACACACACACACACACACACACACACACACTTTCCCAACAACATAACCAACTACATCCAAACACAACACAGCAACGTTAAATTAAATCACCAGCTTCCGCTAAGAAATCACGCCACGCATTCTTGTAGTTAAATGTATTTTCCCACGTTAACCACAAAATTAGCGCATGTTTAAAGCCTGCGTCGCTGCAGACGTGCACAATTCAGCACGAAACAGTTTGAATGAAATGTCAAATGTCAAATAGTAGTCACCGAGCGAGGGCGGAGAGCTGAGCTAGCTTAGCCCGCTGGCTGAGACCTGCATACCTACCGAATAAACAGCTTCGGAGGCCATGTCACACTTTACAAACTCACGAGCGATACATCCAGCGAACTTAATACGTGCACGTTTATTTTGCACGGTCCTGTCTCTTCTTATCACACTGTTAGCTGGTAACAACACCTGAAAACTTCACATGGGCGTATTTAACAAGTGGCATTTCCGTGGCAGCATTTTTGCCCTTCCCTCTTTTACCTACGGTGGCCGGACAGGACTAATACGCCGGGTTGCACTGCATGTACCATGTGCGCTCTGTTGTCATTGAAACGAGCAAGTTAGCGACAATACTTAGGCTCTCATTTTTTCCGCTTTACCTGCTTATTATTAGCACGAAATGGGGTCCGAAAGAAACGGGAATAAAGACGAAGATTGCTTGTTTCTGGAGCATGTTTTGGACAAGCTTTATGACTTTGGTAAGTGTGGTTAGCTGGCTGGCTAATGTTAGCTTTACTGGCTACTTTAAAGGCTGGTACTGTGTTTGAGATTTGCTCTATTACTCGTTTGTTATAATATTATGTTTCATGAGTCTACTTGCAAGGAAAAGAAGCATCGAGAAATGTCTTAAAGAAAGAAGAAGAAGAATCGAGAAATTATGTTACATGTTTCGTTGTATTAGCCAGAATAGTTACTTTAAAGTTAGCTCATTTTTACTGAGTTGTCACCTAAAATGAATATTATACCAGTAAATGGCAGAAAACTTAGTATACAAAGCTCAGCTCAGCTTTGCTTATGTTGCACCGTCCATATAAACGTGCAACTCAAAGGGCTTCACATGGCTAGAATAAAAAAACACAGAAAAGCAACACTGGTGATTTTTAATGTACATGAACCACATGAGTAAATGACAGCGTGTTATATTATACAGTAAATACTGAGATTCGCATACCGAGAGTAAAAAAGCATGAAAATTAAAAATAAGTCAAGTGTCGAAGCTTGATAAAAAGCTTCTCCATCTGACAACTGCTTCAGCTTCTATCTCGCAGCTACCTCCAGTATCATAATCCTTCACACCAACCAACACAAACGTGTCCTCGTTCACTAAATCCATGAAGTTTGTCTCCAAACTGCTTAACCTGAGCTGTCCCTCTGATGTACTCCTCTCTAATACTGTCCATTCTGGTCACTCCCAGTGAAAAGCTCAACAGCTTTAGCTCTGCGACCTCGAGCTTAGTCTCTTTGTTTCATCATAGTAGGACTCACTAATGTTTTTTAAACCTTCGCTTTCACTCTTGCTGCTATCCTTCTGTCACAAATTAGCTCTGACACTCATCTCCACCCTACCTGCACTCTTTTTCACCTCTGTTATGCACTGACTGTTATGCACCTAGATAGTTAAAACTGAGCCACCTTCACTACCTTAACTTATTAGGTCTGCACTGTTACATCTGTCTCCCTCTCATTCACACACGTATGCTGTCTTACACCTACTGACTTTCATTCCTCTTCTCTGTAGTGCAATCTAGATAAAAACAAATATAGTTCATGCAATGTAGTTAAGCACCACCACAAACTGCATTCTCAACATTTTCATAAAGTTATATTGTGTGACCCTTTGATCAAGTTAATGCAAATCCTGAACATTGTCATTATTAATGCATCAATGGACAGGGCACAAGCAGGTTTGGTGGAGCGGTGACGACAAGTGTTGGGGGTGATTTGAGATAGAAGGATAGCAGGAAGAGATTTATTTTAATACTGCTTTTCTGGACTGCATTAGTTTCAGTTTAGATTTTGCTACAGAAATGCAAAGTTACCTATGCTTTAAAAGTCAGGTGTCTGCTACTTTCTTGTGTTACTGACTTTACCAGAGTTCATGGCCAAGTCATGTAAACAAAACGTTACAGGGTCTGGATTCTGAATTATATTGTTGATTGATGATGTAGGATCAGGACCAAAAAAGAAGTCTCAGAAGAAGAAAAAACAAAAAAGATGCAAAGATTGGGAGGAAGAAGAGGAGCTCCCTGCAGTGAAGGATATATGCAGTGACACTGAAGACTACAGAGCAGAGCAACATGATGCTGAGCAGCAGCAGCAACAACAACGAAAGGCTGAGCAAACGGGTAGGCAGCATAGCAACAGTATATATCAGTCATTCCACTTTTGTCTGTGAGTCATTAAGTTTTCTTTCTGTTCTTTTTTTTACTCATTAATCTGATTCATCCCATTTTCTAGCCTTTGAGCAAGTGAACCAGGTGGAGGTAGTCACATTTCAAGACCCCACAAAGAAAAGAAAAAAGTCAACACCAGACCCCAACAAAACACCTGTAAGTCTGTTGTACTTGAGCTTACTGTGGCTCTCTATATTTGATTGGAGGCTGGTATTGTTCAGTTCATGTTGATGGTGTGCAAAAAAAAAATTATCTTGTATCCAGCTAGCAACCGGTGTTGGGAGTCGTTACGCATATTACACATTTTCCTTGTTACTTTTCATAAAAGTACATTACTTATCTACTTCTTTGCAAACATGAACACGTAGAAACTGAGTCTATGGGTGTGACTATTACCTGTTGAAGATCAGGCTTTGGCTGCTGGGCTGGGTCAGCATTCACTCAGTTTCATCACCACTCTGGGTTCTCAGCTGGCCTAGCATTAGCATGCTGTCTGTGCAGATATTTGCAAAGCTGCAGTTCTGTTAGCAGCAGACTGATGTTTGTGCAGTTTGCACATTTTTAAAATTTTATTGTATTTTTTTATAGCACAACAGGAAAAGCGCGCAATGGTAATGTCCACATCACCATTGCTCTAAAGCTGTAACGCTGTCGATCGCTGCACCCTTAACCTCCTCACACACCCAAATTAAAATCAAACCTTTGTAACGCAAAGTAACAACGTAATTATAACTGTTTTAATTTGTTTCTGTCAATTTGGGGGGGGTAAATGTGCAGAAAGAGTAGATTAGAAACAGACTTATGGATGCTACCTATAGAAGGATCAGCAGCAGTGGCTTCTGTGCCAACATGCTTAATAGGAAATGCAGTCATCTCCTCTTGTCACTAGCACAGGCATTTTTTTAGGAGCTGTCGCAGTTCATTTTACAGCATTTTCATCTTAGAAACTTGTTTTCCAGTTGATGCTATGAAAAATATCTACTGTTTGACCTCCAGCAAACCTCCTTTAAAGATCCCCCTGTCACAAATGATTCTCATCACTTTCCTTTTCCTCCTGTCTTCATTGCCTTTGGGTTTCTGCTGTCATCCCTTCCAGGCCCTTCATATAGCAGAAAAGGAGCAAAGCGACCAGCTAGGAGAACTCAATTTGGAAAAGGTGATGGTTTCACCACAGTTTACTTCAATTTACTTTGTTATTGCTTCTTCACAAGATTGGAATCCATGTTTTGTTCATATATATATATATATATATATATAGCTGTAGATTATTGTTCTCTGAAAAATATAATTAGCAGTCATGTAGCTCTTCATATCTACATGATTTCTGTTGGCTTTTACTGTATTTGTGTGCTGGGGTCAGGCTCGTCTGGAAGTCCATCGGTTTGGAATTACAGGCTATAAGAAGGAGGAGCAGCGTGTTTTTGAACAGGACAGAGCGGTCATGTTGGGAGCCAGAGTAAGAGCAACATTTTAATCCAACTTTTAAATTTTGCTATAGAGCAGATATTTTTTATGGCCCAATTTTCATGTATTTAATGTCTCCATCAGCCTCCTAAAAAGGAATATGCAAACTATAAGATGCTTCAGCAGCAAATCAAAGAGAAGAAAGAGAAGGAAAAGGAGGAGGCTCAGCTGGTACGACCTGCACTTTCAGGCCAGTCACACTTACAGGAAAATTACTTCTATTTGCTGTTTTTAATGTAGCATAAATTATTTCTTTTTAGGGCCTGAAGAAAAAGAAGAAGAAGAGTAAACAGAGGTAGGTGAATAAAATCACACCTTTCTTAAATAGCATTGATTATTTACCTTAATTATGAACTTTAATTATTGTTAATGAAATACTTCCTCATCATAGGATTCATCCTAACCCTCCAAAAAGTAGTAATTAAATATGAAAATATACTATTTTCATATAGTATATTTATAGTATAATATAAAATATTTTATTTTATTTTATTTTATTTTATAATTTCTGTGGCTCCAACCTGTGTTTGCTTCTACTGCTCTGTCAGAAACAGGAAGACAACTGTACCCTCGGGTCCTGGCGCAGCCCCCTCGGGTCAGGTGGGCCGCTTCAAGAACGGCATGCTGCTCCTCAGCTCCAAGGAGATCCAGAAGATCAAAGGCAACAAGTGAGGAAAATAGGAAATGACCAAAACAGAGAACGATGTCTACGCGCAGACTGTTTAACAGTCTTTCAGTGTATTTAAATCAAAGTGGCTGCTGCCCCCCTGAATGTTCAGGATACAGCCCTGAATGAGATTTTCAGTGGCTTCTAAATTTCTTTCTGATTGATAACTTTAAAAAGGGGCAAATTCTCAGTGTATATGTGTTTTAACACGCTAATGCAGAGTTAGTGGTGTTTGAGTTTTTCCCCTGTACTTTATGGCCTGCACTAAAATAAATATTTAATAGTTTTGCTCTCTGAGAACGACGTTATGGTTATGGTCAGTTATGGTGATACCGTAAAAGATATGTAGAACATAAGAGAGAAGCAAACACTAACAGAAAACCAGCTGAGTTCGTCTGCTCTGAAGCAAAGAATAACAGAATCAGTGCTTCTCTGCTGTGTTATAAATCAGTCTTTAATTACTTGCCTTTCAATTTATTATTTATGTTTTGTATTCTGTTTTGATCATTTTTATCTGAAAGTAATTTTGTGTTTTTCTCAATTTAATGGCAAATTTGGAGGTTTGGGCAGGGCAGGTCAACACCCACGTGTGCTTGTATTCATCGTGTTGCTCTGTCGTCAGTTATCTGAACTACAAGCAGGAATAACAGGGGCAGAACTGTTAGCTCTCATGTTAGTCCGCATCCCAACAGCGGAACTGGGGAAGGCAGTCGATTTATTCAATGTTGAATAAATCACGGCTGCAATCAGAGCTCTCACTCATATATGAAAACCCTGACTTCAGGATGTGTAGCAGTGCATGTTTGAGCCCTTTAATAAAAACAACTTACAGGATGTTTTCCTAAACTTTGAAGCTGCTTTGGATTCTGATCACCGAACCCATGATGACCACAAAGTCTGAATGATGCTTTTACACACTCAAAAGACTCAAGACATTAAATACCAGGACACAGGACAGACTGAAGGCACTGGCAATGCTGTCAATTGAAAAACAACTGAAGCATGACATTTCTGGTTTCAATAAAACTGTGATTGAGATTGCACACAAAATCTTTTGTGTTGTTTATCCAATAGTCAAGACTAAATAACCTGCTAAAAAGAAAAATGCCTTATTTATCTTAGTTTCCTTCTTCGTTGGTGTTGGATAAGACAGACTTTTCAGTCACTTGTGACATTCCTCTATTGCACTATATGCAGTAAACATATTAAAAGAAAACCTGTTGCCGCTTGCAGACAGATTCATATTGTAGTTATCATTAATTGCAATATGATTAAAGTTTTTTTTTATGTAGCTGCCCAAAGATGTCACAATAAATATGGGTGTGGTTAGCAATGTCTGCCCCACTGTTGTTTATACTCAGGAGCCACTACTGCTAATGATCCTATTAAAGTGGATTTTCAAGATATGAAACAATTTAAAGGGTAAAAAGCTGTGGTTAAATGTCTGGTGATAAAGTACAGATTTATTTTCTTTGTTTTGCAGGTGAAGGATTTGAATCCTACAGAATGGAAAATGCATACCAGCATGTTATGGAGAGGAAGTGGACACAATAGACATTTCCTCATAATATGTCACTGTCTGGGAGGGATGGTGTTACTGGTGACTATTGAGTCAGAAATTCAGTGGATTGATCTTCGACTGTCTCTCTGGAGAAGTCTTAAAGCACATAACTGGAGATTGAATACTGTCAAATCATCTTCCATCACAGTTTATTTATTTTGTTTTTATAAATGACAAAAAAGAGACATTTGTGTAACTTGTGTTGTACACTGACATTTTTAAAAGTATGTAATTGCAATGCATTTCTCATTTACAAACTGAAATGTAGTTGTACAAAACATTTATATTGGCAGGAAGGGACTGGATCATAACAGGGCAGGTGGGCCTAATAATTAAAAAATTACACACAAGTAAAGTCTTGGCAGAAGTTTTCAAGAAGAAACGCACATGTACACGCTGAATGGACCGTGAGAAAGCAGAATGATCTTACAGTTTTTCTCCCATATAAACCATCTCTTGCAGTCGTTTCCATTTTGTTAAAGGGAAAACATGAAAGTTGGAGTTTTGCGACACTATGATAAAACAAGACCTTTGAGTTGGCAGTGTGCAGCTGGGTGAGGTCACAAATTCTCACACAGTTTTCTTGAAGCAGCCTTTTTGTTGTTGTATATACAGTTCAAAAAGAGGAAAACATGAAGCTCATCTGCAGCGTGTCACACGTTTGAAGCTGTAAGCACATCTCCTTTATTCAGAAAATATTTTACAGACACTGGCCGTTTTCAACTTGCAATCCTTACTGGTCAAACAGACCATATTAGTAGCCATTCAAGAGGATATTATACAAAAGAAAATACATAATTAAATATTTATAAATACTTTATAGAGTAAATAAATTACATTTTGTCCTCTACTTTTTCAAACATAATCATCTAATAATACTAGTGTAATTCCCAGCACCATACCATTAAAATTAAATTGGTAAAATATGTCACATTCATGGGTGGGTAAGTGTTGGGTAAAGGGACGTTTCATACAGGAACTCTTACAAATACATCTGGACAGAAGTGACTGCAGCGTGAATATTTTAATATGCAAGATTTGTTTTTTTGTTCGTTTCTGTGGCATAATATTGTTTTAAGTGATTTTTAGGCAAGAAAATATGGAACCAAATGTTAACACAACAGGGTGAATTTGAGGCCCTCAGCAGAAGCTTTAATTGCCTCCAGTCACGATTTCCTGAATATCATTTTGACATCCATACAGCCCACAGAGACATAACCCCAAATCATCCAACTTTTCAGAAGGCTGGTTACACGATATTTCACTTTTGTCTAGAAATCTATTCCTGTTACAGCAAAGTCAGCCTCAGGGCAGGTTTCTGCATCTGGCGTGGGAGGTGGCAGCAAGGTCAGAGCTGAGCAGCCAGAAATGATGTAAATGTAGCCCTTAGGTGAAAGCTGGCAGTCTGGGGCACATCAGGTAAAAAAAAAAAAAACCTATGTAAGCTGCTTTAAATTCTGACATTTGCACTAACGCTGTATTCATGTTACAAAGGAAATATGTTAAATTTAAGTGAAGAGAGTGCTTGGGTTAAAAGTCTTCACTTTCAGATGAATGGCAACTTAAATGTAAACTTAAATAGATCTTATCATCATGATTTAGTCAACAGGCTTGGTGTAAGTGCTTTTTTTGCCACTTGGGTGCAGTTACTGCAGTATCTGCTTGAAGTATACATATCTAGCTCCGTTTTTGGTTCAGTTCAAAAGATCTGGTTCATTAACTTATAAAGCCTACACTATTCAACCATCTGTATGCTAACTTTGTTGAGCTCTAGCAGGTAGCTTCAAAAAGAAGAAAAAAAAAACAGGCAGACAAAGCATTGCCTCTTTTCCACTGGCGTCTTAATGTCTTTCTGAAACTCTGTGTGGTTCTACCCATTTCCACCAAAAATAACTGCATTTTTAAAAAGGCTGGCATCAGCACAGTGCCACAAAATTGCCGATGCTAGAATCATTAACACAGATTCAGATTTTCTTCCCACTGAAACGACCCTCCATCTAAAGCTACACAGTGGTTATGCAATGTTAAAACAAATGTTATTGAATCTATTGAAGTCTGGCTCCACGCTGTCACCACATTAAAAAAGGGTTAACAGCAAACACCAAATGGCAAATGATTGGCCAAACTGAGCAAAAGCAATGCTTTTTTTCTCTATTTATTTTCTTCAGCTGAATTCTGTTTAATTCAATTGAATTGATACCTGTGACTAAATTGTTTTCCTTCTCCAATAGTCAGTCTTTTGTCCTTTCACGCGCTCCTTCCCCCCCCCCTTTTCTCTTCACCTCCCAACCGGTCCAACCAGATGGCTGCACCTTTCCTGACCCCGAGTCTTCCTGTTTAAAGGGAGATCTTGTTTCCCAGTATCGCCAAGTGTTTGCTCGTAGGGCATCGTGCGATCATTGGGGTTCTTTCTGTAATATTGTTAAGTCTTTACCTGGAGGCAGCTGTTGTTTTGAATTGGTGCTATATTAATTAAATTAAATTAAATTGAGTTGATACTGGTGATAAATCCCTTCTGGACACCCTGTACATATTACACATCATAGTATATGCAATTACATTTGACTTGACTTTATGAGTTCACTATTTGTGGCTCCCTTGAGACCATCATTCTCAGAAAAATTTTATATAGCCCAGGTGTATGAAATGCCTATAAATATGATATGCTGCAATGCAAATGTAAAGAATTTAACATTCAAAATATCAATGCTGATTTAAAAATAAGTATAATATCCCATCTCTACCGCCTAAAAACTTAGTAAAAAGTCCAAATAAAGAAAAAATAAAGATATTTACTTTATTTTAGAACCCTAGTTCTCTACTAATAACTAAATTTTTTTAAAATAGGCATTCAAAATAGACCTGATCATTTCCTGTAAAAATACCAGTAATTCTTAACCTTACACATTATTTCTGTTCATTTCTGTGGTATATTTTAAAGAATGAGGGTGCGGTAAGTATACAAGTGCTACACTAATTTGTCAATGTAAAATGTTCAACCCTTTTAATGTAAACTTTATGTTTAAATGTCCAAATATCATGAGATAGTTTGTGATTTACAGTAACATAAATCCTGACACATTTTAAAAAGTCTGTGATGAAAAGCATGAAAACAGATATCGGCAGGTTTTGTCGAGGGATGCCTTAATCTTGTTCTCGCCACCGTTCACCAGCAGGGGGCGAGCTGTTATAGCGGTTGGTTTCAGGGTCCCTCGTTGCAAAGACAAACGGTACACTATTTACAATACAGCTTCAGATAGTTTGTAAACTTGTTTGAATCCATGCTTAATGTCACATGTTATAATCATAACTCACATATCAGTATTTACAGTTTGAGGATGTCCATTCATGTGTAAACCCACTGTCATGTGGTAATGTCAGTCTACCTCTCAAACTCACATTATAGGGAACAGAAATGGCTCAGATATAAACAAGTCGTAGATTAAATAACCTCAATTAATGAATTCTTCCATTCCATGAACTGATAAAACATACATAAACAGTGTACTTATACCTATGTATTTTATACAGTGTCTCATGTCCTGAGTCACAGTGGTCTGGTTGAAGCTACTGTCCTCTATAGGCTGCCATATCTAGTCCCTGATGATAAATGTAGCAGCTTATGTAGCTTTACCTGATGTGACTTTAAAAGATAACGTTCAGGGCCACAGATAAAAGGTGTCTGAAAGCATCTTGAGATTCTGCAGTGAGACTGAGAGATGAGCACAGAATGAAATGCTCTTGAGACGACCATACTTTTCTCATCGACTTGGGGTGTATTATATTATCTGTAAATTGTAAATCAAAGAAAATGAAGTTTGGCTCGATTCCACTTCGTTTTAGCATTTTCTGGCAATGGTCTGTCAAAGTCAAAACAGTTCTTTGAGTCTGAGATGCCCCTGCAGGCAAATAGGTTTGTTTCAGTATGCAAATTGCAATTGATTTATTAAATACCACAGTAATGTTTCTTACTGGCCAGTGGATCAAGTCATACCAAGTGGTGCAATCATTTTCATGTTCTAGCAGAGTCCAAAAGTTCACTGCCAAAGACGTTGAAATGTGGGGATCTGCTACATCTTAGTGGGAACTTTTTTGATGTCAGAGTTTTAGGTTTTTAAGACAAATAAGGAAAAGAAAAGGCTGGTGGTCTCTAGGCCTTTGGGACTGTGAATTTATTGGTTAACCTACAGATAATAATAACCTTGTTTATATAAATAAAAAGTAAATTTGGACTAATCAACTAGTTTAAAAGTAGTTGGGCTAATATTAGCAATGTTAGCATCCACAGACATCTTTCCTTGCAGGTTAACATCCACGTGTCCTTAGCGGTTATATGAGAGTTATATAATACAGCTGAATTTTCAGTGTCTAGGTCAAAACACTGTGTACTTCAATAAAAAGTGAGACAACTGTTAAAAAATCAAATAAAATACATTGGCCAAGCCTGGTTAATGCAGTATTTTCAAGGTGCAAAACAATCTTATCTAAAAGAACTTCTGAGTGCAGAAAAAAAAGGACGTATCTAACTCAGTTTTACCTTAAAAAGCCTGTGCCAGGTCACGTTAAAATAGTTTTCCCCAAAAGAAGGCACCAGAATTGAATTCTTTCAAAATAATACACCCCTGGCTCGGTAGATCTGTCAGATTACAGAAAAATGAAATGGAATTAAGTTCCAGCCTTCTCAGACTGACCTCAATATGTAAACCGTTCTGACAACACTATCAAACGATCTTTGCGCCGCTTTGCATGAGAAAGAGAGTCGATCATGAGGGAAGCTTTGCCGGCTTTAAGATGGCTGTCAGATTCCTTACCACAGATAAGAAATCACAGAAAACAGAGAAGGCAGTGCTGTTGGAGTCAACACTGAGATGAAAGTGTGAAGCGAGAGTTTAGCTTTTAAATATTTTATGAGAGAAAAAAACCCATGGTGCCACTACACAACTCCTACAAATGACTTGTGTTCATCTCGGCTGTAAACACACCTGAGAGAGAAGCAGAGCAACAAAAAGCACTGCTGAATCATTTCTCTCAGGGGTTTTTTTTTTCACCTTCTAAAAACTGTGTTGCTTGTGGTCTATTTTTTTCTTTATTTTTCAACTCAGAATGATCTTTCCTGCACAATATAAAAATCTTTAAGGGGCGGAGTTAAGCCCAGATTGTTTAAAATAACATAAACTGTGCAAGCTGGAATATAGATAATATCAGTGTTGTTTGTATCTTTGAGAAAAATAAACTGGGCAGTGGAAAAAAGTATGGCCCTCCAGCCGTCTCTGCAGTGACGTCGTCAAGCTGTAATCATTACATTTATAGCCAATAAACTTGTCACTTGTCTAAAAAGTCGTGGAGCTGAAGATTGTCCAGGTTAAGGGTCAACTTGAGAAGGATGGGAGAGGAACAGATCCCATCTGACAGTACTGGACATGACATCATTGGTTTGTATCCAGGGCAGGCTCAGAGTAAGGAGGGAGCTCTTACTGTTTGATATTCTTTGGAACTTCCAGGCCTGTCAGTAATGTCACCTGAAATAGAGAAACTCATTAAAATCAGCACGAATGAGGCAGTGATTTTAGAGATCAGAGTGGGCACATAAAAGCACCACTGCATCTATGTCATGTGAAATTTGGTTTGGAGAAGACACATTTATTTACCTTTGGAACACACAGTAATCTGAGCTCATGGGTTAGGAATCATTCACTTCTATCAGCACATACTCAGTTAACATGTGAATGTAGAGGAACATATCTATGACCAATATCAGTTTGAGGAATTCAAATGGATTGGACTGGTAATTCTGATTTTACTTGCTAAAATGTCTCATAAACTGCATAAATATAACCTATATTTCATCTGAATTTTACAGTAATGTAGTTGCAGCTTGGTTGCTTTGAAGTAAATGCATGTTTGTGTTAAGCCATCGCATCTGTGTACAGAATCTCTCCTCGGGGAGCCATTTTTCCTTGCTATTCTTGAATTTAATTCCTCTTCTTTTTTCATTGAGTTATTTTGCAGTAAACACTTTACCGAGGTCAACAATCAAGGCAGCCCATCAGGGAGCTGGTTATTTTCCATTGCTGTTAAACATGGCACTTTAACACACACAGACCTGCACATTTCTGTTGAGGCTGACGGCGGGCACAAAGACCCCATCCAGGTTCTCAAAGGCAGTTGGGCCATGCTGTTCCTTATTGATGTAGAAGGTCAGTGTGCGTTTAGTCAGATCCAGCAGGACACCCACAGTCGAGCCCTTAGTGATGCCTCCCTCTGCCCTACACACACCCACACACGCAAAACTAGTCAATTTTGTTATGTATATGTGCCGTAAATGCACAGATTTTATTGTAGGTTAAGTTTCACATGGAAGGTAACACAACACAAATATCACTGTAGTTGTGTCATGCTGCAAAAAGACAAATATATATGTAAAAGAATGAATACAAAACTTAGTCACCAAAGAGTCCTTTAATTCATTCAGAGCTTGCACAGACACAGCACTCTGAAGTCTGGTGGCATGGTTAATGTGTTTTTTAATTAATTATTATTATTATTATTATTTTGGTTTATGATACTTTAATCTACGTGTATGTTAAATTAGTTAAAGTTTAAAAAAAATCTGATCACTCTTGTATTCATATTTTGTGTTTTATGTGACATTTATTGGCATCTTCTGCATGGAACCTGCCGGGGGACTGCAGATATAAATTAGCTTTAAGCTAACTCTTTCTGCTACAGTGCATCAAATGGCAACATTTATATTAATATTGTACATTTAAAAAAAAAACAAAAAAAAAAAACAAAGACCCCTGTAACTCATAAATCAAAGTTAGAACTGGCTCAGTAGCTGTTGAATGAATTATTTCACATATCAAATGTATTTAAAATTAAACGTCTGCTCTTTTTGTCTAACACACAAACTCTCTGTTCTCTGTTTTAAGAAGTGACTTAATGAAAACGATCTATAGCAAAAACCTGCGCTCCAAAAAATTGTGTTTTAACCACAAAGCTTGCGTTTTTGCAAATGTCTCTAAACTTATAGAAATGCAGACACTCATCAGGATTAGGCTGTCAGGGCACTAACAGATAAAGAAATCAATATGAGATTAAGAAGTCAAAAATAAAGCTCCGACATGACACAATGAATGACATGAAAGGTGGGTAGAGAACTGACAAGTCAAGAGAGCAGATATTTTTCATGAATAAATCTTTAATGAGAGTTTGATGGCTTCCTTGTGAAGCAGACAGAGAGACGGTGCAGATGCATGTTTTGATGTTTCCTGCAGCCATCTTATACAGCTCCCCTGTGTGTTTGTTAGTCTGTTTGTTAGTATTGTATGAGCCTTCGGGTTTCTCTGTCATCGTGTGTATCTATGGTTATAGCTTCCAAACCTCTTAGAAGTATGAGACTTAATGCACAAGACAGAATGATGAATGCATAAGGGAAACACTTTACAGAGTCCCTGTCTCCTGTTGTTTTACTCAACGACAAAAGTTGCTCATAAATTACTTAAAATTACGAGTGCTGCTTTCTAGTAAGACAAGATTTAACAAGTTGGATTTGTTAATGTTACAAACTAATTGAGTCATATTTTATAGTAAAAGAAACAGCAGTATTGCTACAGTAATAATACATTATAGTACATTAGGAATGATATATTAATAATGACAATCTTGGGGTTGCCATGTTATGAAAAATTAAATTCAGCAGGTATTTCTCCTTCTCTTCATGAATCACCGTAGTGGGATTATCGTTAAAGGATTAAAAGCTTCGCCAGCAAAAATAGAACAAATTAAATCCCAGCATCACTCCACTCAGAATTAATTGTGCCTTCTAATTAATGGTTTATTAAATATTTGAGGGCTTGAAGGATGTTACAGAAAGTTCCTAATGAAGGGACATAAACTACTGATTTCATATTATACTATCCAGTCTGCAGGTATACATGTTAAAGGCATTAATGTTATGAACAGCTTCTTCCAAGAAAGAAAGTGCTACAACAATCCTTTAGAGGGGTCGATGAAAGAGCTGAAAACCCCATGAAAGCTTTGCCGCAGGAACGGGGATTTTTACAACCTAGCAGCCTATGAGTTGTTCACACAGCATTAGTAATATATTCAATTTTAACTTTGTAGTTTGACAAAACAAAACAAATTAAAAAATTTCAAGATCTTTCTTTTGTTCTTTGTATTAAATAACAACAGCGTGGAAAACCAGCGTGATAATAGTGAAAGTCTGTAAAAGCTGTCAATGTCTTTTTTAGCTTTCCTGATGTTCCCTTCAACAATCTGTCCCTGGGCATCGCTGAAATCCTTTCAGCATGACTACAAGTTGTCGACTGCTCCCTGAAGCTCCCTTTCTAACCACTTATGTGTCTGTGATACATACTGGATCTCCTCTAGTGTGTCAAATGGAGCTCTTCTACTTGACTTAAATTTTTGGGGCAAAGAAAGAAAGTCCCAAATCTGCGGAGCATGAATTGTCTTCATAATTGCATGTGCCAATTTTCCTCATCTTTTTGCTGTTCTCTTTATGGATCAACATAATGGATCATCTGTCTCTATCTCTAGCATCCTCTTCTGTCACACAAACCTACCTGTAGTGTCCTCCTTCACTCCAACCAAAAATTTTCTGTGTGATCTTCTTCTTTTCCTCCTCTGCACATGTCCAAACCATCTCAGCCTTGCCTTTCAAACTGTGTCATCAAAACACTCGACCTGAGCTGGTCCTCTAATCTTGCCAGTTCTCTAATCTTAGATACTTAAAATCTGCTACCTCCTGTCTTTATGTTAGTGCCACCATGTCCAAGCAACACATCCCAGGTAAATCTTTCCTTTCGTTCTTGCCTGCACCACATCTCAGGTTATTTCCACCAAGTGTTCTCTCACAGAAGCCTCGGGCTGTTACCCAATTTGCAAGTCTCCATTGACAGTCTGACCTTAAGGAAAAATTCACAGTGCACGCTCTTAAGAAAGACCTGATATGCAAACACTGGTTTGTAGCTGGGGAACAAACCCCCACCAGAAGTAATGTTCCTCAAAATGATCTGATCATTTTGACAACAAAAGCCACTGAAGAGGTTTGACGTCCATGATAAAATCTCAGAGTGCTCATGCACAGAAGTTGACTTCTGATCTACAAGGAATCTCGAAATAGCAGCTGAAAACAGACCTAAAGTTCACAAGGACATGAGGATGAAAGGCAAATCTAAAACAAATAAACTGAGGCACTGAGGTAACCAGAATATTATTTTAAAAAATAATCTTAAATTAGTCTTCTAATTTACTGAAAGTCAATTGTCTTTGCATTTGAATGATATGAGCCTCTGGATCCTGCAGGATATCCGTTTGGGATTTTTCTTGAAAACATGCAGATGGAATCTCTTAATTGTTCTCATTTTTTAAATATGATATGTATTTTATGCCAGTATTATACAACATGTCCAATGGTAGGGAACAATGGTAAAATTGTAAAAGTTATCACTAAAAACTGTTGGTGGTGTTGTTGCTCCCCATGCACCTACCTGTTGGTGTGGGAGTTGTTGTGCATGAACCAGGAGCGGTTGTTGTCCACATACATGGCCCAGGCTTTGTCATCTTTCCCCAGCATCATGTCCTTCATGGTGTTGATCCTTGCTATGCCAAACGCAGGATCTGGGTGGTTGTCATAGCGATCAATGCTGACCTCCCAATAGTGAATGCCCTGAGATTCAATAGGGGGTAAAAAAAATAAATCTTCTATAACCTTTATAACCAAAAATTAACAGAAAAAGGCTAATCGCTGTCAAATTTGAACAGAAAATATCTGTATACACTTCACCTTGGAGAAAGCAGCAGTCCCCAGCACCACACGGTCATCATAGCTGTTACAGCTAACTGTCTGGTTGTCATTAGTCAGAACAATGTCCCGATGAGCTGAGGTGGGGTCAAAGGTGAACCAAGCCACTGTAAGAAGGACACAACAGTTAGCCGGCTGATAGCCTTTGGAAATTCTGTAAGTCTGTACTAACATTCACACTAAATTTAGTCACGTGTTGTATTCTGCATCTTATTAAAATAATTTCAAAAACTGCTCATCCAAAGTGAACCTTACTGGGCAGCTATACCTACCCACACCTACAGTAAAGCCAATAATTATATTACTGATTCTAGAAGGGCCATGCTTTCTTTTTCATAGGATTAAAGACCCTATACAGTCCTGTGAAAAAAAACATGATTCAAAGCTCATAGAACCACCTTTAGCAGAAATAACTTGAAGTAATTGTTTTCTTTATAACTTTCAGTGTCTTACGTCATTATGGCCATATTTGCTATATAGCTTTGCTTCATTTCGTTAAGGTTTGATGTCATTTATTAATGCACAGCTCTCTTAAGGTCCCAAAACAGCATTTCTGTCAGGTTGAGGTCTGAACTTTGACTATGCCATTGTAGCATATTGATTCTTTTCTATTTCAGCTATTTATTGTAGATTTGCTGGATAATTTTCCTGTTGCATGAACCAATTTGGGTGTTCTTACAAACATGATCACATTTGACTCTAAAATACTTTAGTATCAGAGGAGTATAGAGGAGTTTAAGGGTGACTCAATGACTGCTAGGAGCCGAGGTCCTGCGAGTGCAAAACAAACCCAAACCATCACCCCTCCACCAGCGTGTTTGACTTTCTCCAAACATGGCGCTGTACATTAAAAGGACATTGTTCAAGAAGTCTTGTGGTTTGTTCAGTTCAAAACCTAAGCTGTGCTACAATATTCTCTTTAAACAGTAGTAGGGATGGGTACCGGTATACGGTGCCATTATGGCACTGGTTCTGACATAAACGGTAGTAACAAGACCGAAAAGCAGAGCACATTTCATTGCTTTATTTCGGTGCTTTTTTTTTTCTTCCTGAGATGTCATACACTTTGGATTCTAGCCAATCATTTTACCTTTGCAAGGATAGTAGATGGGCCCAGGTACGTACATTCTTTAAGAGCTACAGATTAAAAATGCCCAAGGCAAAGTGGTCAAAAGTCTGGCTGTACTTCACAGCAAAAGATGCAAACTCAGCAGCCTGCAACAAGTGCTTTAAGGTGATACTGTGATACTGTGCAAAGGAGATAACACCTCGAATCTGACGACCAACCTGGCGATGCATAGCGTTTTTTTTAGAAGCCAAGAAATGCACCAAGTTAGCAACATCTCCCAAGAACCCGAAGAGGAGAGTCCTGGCCCCTAGCCCTGCCAGTGTAGCAGAAATGATGAC